CATAAAAGACACAAACAGATTGGGAACCCCAGCAACAAATACTGCTGAAATTAAATGCTTAACTATGGCGTGACAACATACAAAATGCAAAATGCAAAGGGAGAAAAAGGGACGCATTTGTACATCTATTGAAACGATATAAAGATTAAAGCCCTCGCAACAACAATACAGCCTCAGTACATCAGCAATCACAGAATCATAAAAATTAAACAATATACTAATGGAATCAATAAAACAAGCAATAAAATCAGAAACCAACAGTTGAAATAAATACGATTTTGTAGCCTGCCTTTTTTTTGGGAACAAAAATAAAAACAAAACAGGAGTAAATATGAATCAGCTGGGGAGGGGGAGCCAATCAGCGGTCAGTTCAGTTTATCTAGCACCAAAGGCCCTCCAGAATAAAACCAATTTCCATAAGGCCAAAAGCAGTAGGATCAGGGGTCGTTTCGTAGAAAAAGAGCTAGGGGAACTCATTAGCATAACTCATTAGCATATGCCACACCCCCTGACATCAGGGGCCCGGCGGACCTGCAAGGCCGGCGGGAGTGCGAGGAAGCCCCGCCAAGGCCCTCCCTGGCTCCAGGCAGGCAGGGGTGGGGAGAGGCGGGGAGGAAGCAACTTACCCTCCCTCTTCTCCTGCCTCCTCCTGGCTGAATGAGGGCCGTTAGTGGGGCGGCCGTAAGCAGGGGGCGGGGCTTCGTCATGTGCCCCGCCCCCTGCACCTCACCCGGGGGAACTGCGTTCCCCCACGATCCCCCCCGAAATGACCTCTGAGTAGGATATATGCATTTTCCTGGGGCAGGGAGCTAGAACTGAGTCCAGTAGCATCTTAGAGATCAACAAGATCTTTGGGGCACATGCTTTCAAGAGTCAAAGCTGCCTTTGTCAGATACATATGCATAAAGCTCAAAAAACCCATCAGCAAGACAAAACAAGGGCAGCAGATGTTTACATGCCTCCATGAAGTCAGAAAATTAATTGATCCTCTGACAAGCCATCCCAAAA